ATAAGTTTACAGTCCCGTTCGTCTACTCATTTTACCTCACTGTGAATGCAAAAGAAAACGGCAGCCAATGCTGTGTTCTATGAATTAAAAGGGGTAACATTAGTATACTGTACTATAAATGTGCTAGTGTGACAAATATCCGTTAGGCGATACTGTACTCTATTTTTGCATCAAACATTTGTTTTTTTTCCAAAGGTAATATATTAAGCTAACTTAAATGAAATTGAAGTGTTTTGGGAGCATGACTGGGGTCATATTTAGGGTTTAAACTTTAGAAATAAGCACATATTATAATTTTTAGTGACTCTACCAAACATCCGCAAATCCTCCTGATTCACAAGGGGTTCTGGAACCTAACCTCGCGAATGTCCGAGGTCTGACTGTATAGCAGTTGTTTATGTTCTTACATTCCCACCATCCCTTTAAACAGTACTGCTTGTATGCAACTTATGCATTATTACACCAATGTTGAAATGCTTTCCTTGCCCAAGTAGCATAAAAGCCTATCTAGTTTGTTTATTTTTTATTCGTTTTTCAGTTTTTTTACAAATGAAGGCCCCTTTTAGTAGGCCAGTGTCTAGTTAAAAGTGCAAACTAAAGAGGAAAAATAACTATTCTGATTGTACCATTAATTCTCTTTTTTCCAGTTACTTTGGCAATATTGACTTTTATTCATTTTTAATAGTAATTTAAAATGTTTTAATTTAAATTATTTTTCCACAGCTAGTTCTGGCAGTAGCTGTAGTTGTCATGAAAAACAATAACCCTGTACCATGCATTGATCACTAACTGCTAATAGCATTGAAATGAACTGTGGTTTTGATACACATTTCACATAAGTAATGATATCTCAGCAACCACTCAAAAACCAAAGACTAAAATTTTCTGTTCATGACATTATGAGCTAGCTTTAGTAAAAAACTAATACATTTTGAAATATAGTGTTTTTTGTTATTGAATTCTTAATATTTTAATCAGTTATTACATAGTAATTATTCATATGGGGATGGCATATTTGTTCAATCTACAGAGCTGGACAATAGTTTTAAAACAATATGACCTTATATTAAGGTAAATATAGTAGTTAAAGTCATAGTCCCCCCCCCCAAAAAAAATTAAAATTTGTTCGCTGAAATATCCCTCAATATTGATCCGACACGCCCAATTTCAGTTTCATGAGTTACTCATGGGGCCAAATCAGCAGTAAGTCTTGTTAAAATCCATGACGATGAGTTATGAAAGTGTGGTGATTTGACATGGGATGACCCAAATCAGGTCACAGCACAAAGCTGAGCGTGAAACAAGGCACCACATCAATGCTTGTTCATGGCCTACACATATGGTTGTCTTTCAGAAATATGGTAGACATGATTTTATGTTGAATCTATATGGAATGTGAAACATACAGCTCATCTTTCTCTTAAATAACACCATCACTATGGCAGAATGTTTAAGAGACTGGATTTTACATTAAACATTAACATAGGAAAGAAAAATATGTTCATCTGGTTGACATAGCCAGTATAGCATATTCATATTGCGATCGTTTAAGTACATTGAACTAAAAAGCTTGACTGTCTTTGTCCTTTTATGCTGCAAAAGGATTGATTGAATCCCTTCTAAAACAGGATCCTGGAAATACCTTCAGGCCAATGAAGCTTTAACTAAAGGTGGCAAGCACTCTTCAATTATTTATGTATTGTGCATATGACATTTGAACGCACAAGTCTACAGGAGCTGACCAAAGGCAAAACATCTGAGGAGATCTGGGGTGGTTCACAAATCAAAATGCACAAGACAACAAATCAATTTGTTTAAATCATATATGGCATATTGTTAAACTGTAAACACTAACCCCAAATCAAACTGAAGACCAAAACCAAAATCATTAAAATTTCACCACTGAAAACAGGTTAGATAACACCTCTATTGAGCTATAACTGACCTTCGAGCATAGAGCACTACCGGGGTAGTAAACAACCCACCTGCCAGTCCAACAAAAAGTGGATGGTTACCTTTAATTCTCTCATGACTACATTGTTAGCCCCAAAATAATGCTTTTTGGAAACAGCAGTATGTGTCACTAAGCTGCCCGTTTCCCTTGTTTAAATTTGGTATGGATATGGCTGCCTATAAAAGACTCTCAATCTCAGGCACAAAATCAAAATACCTAGTAACAGTCATATCCCTTAGCGTGACTAATACCTGAGCAGTTCATTTCATTTGATATGTCTAAACACTGGGTAGTTTAAGAAAATCCCCATGTGATAAAGGGTATTTTAAGTGGGCCTTCGGGAAAATTTCAGCTAAAAAAACTCTTTTTTTACTCACTGTGTGCTTTCCAAAATACAACCGTCTTAACATACTTCACCCTTATATGGAGCCTCCGTTTAAAGAGGGCAACGGAATATCAAATGCAAAGTTTAACAATATATATTGTTAATGAGGAATATCAGTATTAAAGTCTCACTATAAATCGACAAGTCGTAATAAACAATACATTTATACTATGCGGCAATTCATAACAGAATCTCACCAGGCTTTCAGGTACTGAAGTTGAATAAAACGGGTTTTTCCATCATCAGAGAAATTACGGAGATGCATTAGGACTGTTTTTACAGGGCAAAACCAGGGAAAGAACCTTAAAGACAATCTTGTAAAAATACTGTAATTACAATCCCCCGTGACCGCCTTCGCCTCTGAGGGTGACCCATTTGGAAACGACTTTGGGTACACGGCAAGGGGAACTGTAGTTCTGCTAACGGAGCATATTCTTTATTTTAATGCCAACAACACTCAAAACTTTGGTAGAAGTGGCGACGACAAACCAACTAAAACAACAGATAGGTATTTCGTTCTAAAAGCGGTCAAGTTAAATGGAAATGTATTAATATATGTCACAGTGGGAGGAAGAATGATCAGCTGGTTTACCTGCCCAGCTCTCGACCGGGGATAAGGCTGTAGTGGTCGTGGAAGGCATCGGTCTTGATGGGAGTCCTGATGTCCGACAGCAAGCCGCTGCGGCTCTGGTTTGCTTCCACGACCTGCCCATAGCACCTCGTACGGCTTTGGCTCTCAGCGCTCCGTGGACATTCAGGGATCATCGCGGTCCTGCGTCTGCTTTCGCTGGCTGTCTAAGAAGGTTTAAGCAACCCCCAGCCGGCCCGATAACCGACCGCGGATAACCGCGCTTTAACTCACTGCTGACCGACTTGCTGGCTAGCTCGCGAGCGCATCAGTACTCGACGCGGCTAACTACGTCTAAACGCGCGGACATGACTGTCGAATCTCTTAGGAGAAGGAATTAAACTTCCAGCAGTCATTGACACCTCCCCAGAGCAAGTTTGAGGCAGACCGGCTAATGGTAAAGAGAAGAAAAAGTTTGTTTTCGGTCCTCTAACTACTCCTTCGGTTGTCACACAGCCTGAACGCGCTTTATCCGTCCTGTTGAGGGTGAGGTTCATTAACGGCCACTTTCAAACTGAGCCTCCGGTCGCCGTGGTAACTTGTCTGATTGGCAACTCATCCGGCTGGAGGGGGCAGGGCTCCGGCAGGCACTGATGATTGATAAGCCATTTAGCCAAACGAAACGAAGCTCCGGCGCCTCTTTCCGCTCCACCTGATTGGTTAGGCTTTGACGCGATAATGCGGAAGCTGATACCTACATCTTTACCAAGTTAATATTACTGTTCGCTAGCGGTGCTCGGGATTGTTTTCGGCATTTATAAGCAATTGCTTTAGCAGTCGTCTAACAGTAATTACTTTAATGTGTTTTTGTTTACTTTAAACGTGTTTTGCATATTTACGAGTACCCTTTAGTAACAGTATTTTAAAAGTGTATTTATTGTTTTTTTGATGATGTGGAGAGACGCATTATAATTACTTTCCCATCATGTGGGACTCAGACACGCTGCCCTCTGTTGCTGATGAGAGAAGGCAAATTAAATTTTGGTTAGCAATTTTCCTACATTTTCAAAACGATAAAAACGAAGATTCGTGAATACATCATATAAAAAAGTTACCTCGAACCCCTGAGGTCACATTTCGAGTCCCCTTACCACGCAAGATATAGTTTGGTTCGGTAGTTATTTACTACCTTGTGTTAAACTGCAAAGAACGGCAGATCAGTTAATCATCTGAACCTTTAGCGTTTTAGTAAAAAAAACCACCCAGGACTTTAACCACTACAGGAGCTGCTGGTTCCAAACAAATTATTAAAACAAATTTTGTTGAATTTAAAAAGAAGGTATTGCATGCCTTCAAGAAGTAGTTCAGCCATCTTCCACACTAATGAATACCATCTTAACCACTCCCCTGACAAGCTCGAGCCTCTACAATAAGCATTAATTGTGATCATACGCAGTACCTCTTACAGTATTTGCAGCATATCCCCACACATTGCCAGTATGTATGAAAGTTATATAGCGTAACATTTTAAAGAATGATTCTGACAAATGTCCTAACTGCAACACTATAAGCCCTAGGCTAGCAAGGAACACCTCCATTATAATAAAACACAAATCAGATTCCATAATCCTCTTCCGGCATCAAACCAGTAATCTTTCTGTTGTAATATGTATTGGGTTTGGAATATAGTTAAATGATACAGGTAATATTACTGATTACGCTTTACCAAGTAAAAAATTAAGGGGTTTTCTTGCCATGCATCAGTATCTAAAACTTGTAGAATTTGCTACTGTGTCACAGTTTCCCAAATAGCTGTGACTCCCCACCCTCCAAAGTCTGAAAGCAGTTTGCATTAATACCCCAAAATGTGCTGACTGCATAACGCTGTATGGTGTGGTCAGCAGCCTCAGTGCACCAGCCGTTGCATGTCATTAACAGCTGGTACTTCAGCAGAGCCAACATCCTCATTCTGTTTCTCCAAGTGATTGTTTCGTTTCTCATTTTTATACGTCACAGCAAGTTATATGCTGCATCCAAAATGCCAAGATCAACCCAAATACCCAACATGGCACAGACTGTAAATAGCAAACCAAGCGTGTGCAAGTGTGTGTTTATTGACATTCATCTACAGTAACGATAAGACAGGAAACACAGCCTGAGTAAATGTGACCTGTTGTTGAATCAAAGCAAACCAGCCTTTATATGAAAACAACTTTGACAAGAGTTTTTCCAGCAGAAAGATCAGATATGTAAAATAAGGAACAGAAGTAGAGAGCAAAGGATTGTGGGATACAATAAACACACCAGAACATCACTGTCTCCTATTCTTCTTTTTGTCATGTTCACTTAGAAGGAATATATTGTTTGAAACATATTCTTCGTTCTGTCAAAAAAATGGTTCACATTTCTCTTAAAAGTACAACAACAAATCATGCCTTTTGGAGGATATTATTCATACAATATGAGATGGGGGCACATATATTAATTTAAACAAACAAAATGTTCACTTAGAAAACTTAACAATACATAGAGAGAGAATACTTTCTGACCATAACTGTTACTGCATATTCTGATTAAACTTTTGAATCAGCATTGATTAAATATGTCTTCCAATAAATAGTACTATTACAATAATTGTACCTCAGTTTTATTAGTCAATTTGTGCCCCATTATTAATGTACATGAGCTGCAGGCTGTAAATAAAAATTTACATTCAGTTCAATTACCTTCAGTTTTAGCAATTTTGGTCACATATTTCCCTTTAGCCGATGCAATCATAGTTTGTTTACTATTTACAGAAAGCAATTTCAACAGAGTCTTGAACAAGACACTGGAAACCAGCAGTTATGATCTGTACACATCAGCAAAGAGCGTGAGTGAGAATTCAAAGTACAGCAGGAACAAACAGGCAACACAGGTTAAAATTAGACAGAAGTGAGAACACAGCATTCCGAGTCTAAACACAAAACGGCTGAACAAGTAGGTGGTACAGTAGTTGTGCTTGGTCATGCTCTGACATTTAGAAAGTGTCTTTAGCAGGAAGATGGCTATATATGATGGAATATTAACAGCACTGTTTTGAATTGCTGGAAGAGACTGACTTGCAAGAACAAGTCAAAAGAAGCAAGTAAATTCACAGTGGAGCACTTTAACAAAATCAGAACACTCAGCAGGTCATTGTGTGCAGGTGGAACCAGAGAACTCTGCAGGTCTCAGGGTGTTATGCAGAGTCAGAGAACTCTGCATATGTATGTTACATAGACCAAGAGAACTCTGCGAGTCATAGTGTGTCACATAGAGATGGAGCACTCTGCAGATGTGTGTGTTATATAGATTAAGAGAACTCCTCCGGTCATAGTGTATCATGTAAAGTCAGATAACTCTGCAGGTCATGGTGTGTTATGCAGAATCAAAGAAATGGACTGGTGTGTGTTGTGTAGGGTAAGAAAATCCTGTAGGTCATAGCGTGTTATGTAGAGCCAAAACACTTGGCAGGTGTAAAGCCAGAGAATTCTCCAGGCTATAGCGTGTATGTTGAGCCAGAAATCTGTGTATTTTCTCTTCGTTCACAGAAAGAACCTATACACAAGTACAGTAGTGAATGCAAGTTATAAATTACAATTTTACTTAAGTTCTTGTCAGTGGTACTACTTACAATTTACCCATTAATAATTTTCAAGGGAATGATGAGGTTATGGATTTATGGCAAAAGTAATCTATGGTGGAATTTTTGCCTCTTACCATTACAATGATAAAAATTAACAGAAACCTTTCCTTTCAATGTTACACTTTGTACAATTGACAGTCATATAAAAAAAACAAAACTTTACAAAATCACACATTCAAAATTATTATCCCGACTGCAAACGTATTTCTAAAAATAAGAACCCTTATTATTACGTTACCTTTAACATCAAAAAGATTATAGAAAATAGGAAAATGTAAACATTTATAATTACACCAAATGCTTTTATAAAAAAGTAATAATTTTTATTATAAAGCACGACAGAGGATTAGCTCTTATTACAGCTTCCCATGCAGACGTTTGATTGGATTTTGATTCCTCTGTTTCTTAACACCTTGTGAATACCGCACACTTTTCAGTTGTCCCCTTAGACCCTACCACGTGTACAGATATAAGTAAGAAAATCGATTTATAAATGTAAACATATTGCATTAACAAATGCATACAGGTAAGATGTTATAATGAGCATATTGCAAATGGGCCACTTAGGATTTTATATCATACTATGAATTATGAGTAAAAGTAGAATGGAGATCGACCAGTTTCTACACCCCAGTCTCTCTGTGGTTAAACAAACACTTAAGTATAATTATTGAGATGAAAGATGTCACATTGGCATAGAATTAAAATGTACAGAATTCATATTCAGCTGTGTCGCCCTCAAACCCCTTACGTTTCTACAGATTCCTCATACTCCCAGCTCTTCTACTCCATCACATGAGTGCATTTCTAGAACTCGGAGAACCGTCAAGAGGAACCATCTTGGCATGGTATATCTAAGGCAACAGTCTGGAGAAAGACACTAGGAAAGCCCTTATGGACCGTTCAGGGTACCATCCAGGGTGTCCTCTAGTGATTCCCCCACGATACCATCCGGGGTGTCATCCATAGTGTCTTTTAGTGAATCCTCCATGGTATAACCACTACATGAGTGTATGCTACATATGTTGCCTTGCCATAGCCCCATTCTTAGTATAGCATAGACGTACTTGGTGAAAAATGGGCGTTAAAATGTTTACTATGGTATAAATAGAGTAATTATTTAGCAAATAAAGCTGTCATCATTCTGTACAAAAATATATATACAGACACTGGAAAGTCCTGTTTGGTCTGCAGTCATGGAACATTCTTCTTAAATGACTGAGATGAGAGGACCCCTGAGATGGGGGCGGGGTCCTTGGTGACATCACTGCAGGGGGGGGGGGCGTAGGTATACTGCACTCGCATAAAGGCGTTAAATTAGGAGAAGCCTGGGAGTGACCTGATATAGACTTTGCATACATTGGATTTTATGAGTGCACATGCAGGTCCATTAAAAGTCACATTCATTTCAGAAGGATGTCAAATGGCTTTGCCGTCACCTGGACGGGTCGCTTGGGGTCATCATTCTAGACCAAAAGTGCTGGTTTCCTCCACGGCGATCAACAGCTTCTCATACAGCATCGTGTAGGAGGGGTATGAGGGGAGATCCAGGCGGTTGAAGCACGTGTGTGCCCTGGAACAGAGCAGATCTGTGTTGGAAGACTAGAAGGGCACTCTTCATGGGCCGGAAATAGCCCGTCAATCAGCAGCTGCTCATATATTATTCTACTGCAAATCTGTAACAGAAACTCAAATCTGAGTGGAATCTGAGGAATGCGAAACATCCGGCAATGACTGAGACAGTCATTACTAAGGAAACTGCTGAGAGAACTTTTTGATTTGTTTACCCCTGGGGAGTCACAAACTATGCATTTTCAAGCACTGTGTCTGGGATCTCAGGTGCAGTGCGCTCCCGGGACACGAGACCAGCCCATGGTTCATCTGCGTGTGAATCCTGACCAGTGTCACCTGCTTGTTTATCTCCCTATGGGTCCCCATGGTGACGACAGACACATTTTGTACATTATTCACTTCCTCTTAGAACAGGAGGGGCTACCAGTTTCTTGCTGCCATTACTTTTGAAACTGCAGCATGCATAAATAAAGTAGCTCATCTATCACACTTGGCAGCTTGGTCTGCATTACAGAAACATTACCATGCGATTTCCTGCGCGTTTCTGTTAATCAGCTGAAAATAATTTAGACCTTTAGCAGAAGGTATAAAAAACTGCAATGTATAAGTAACACAAGTAATAATGTAAATATTGTAAATGATGTGATTCGCAAAAACGCCTTGATGTACGATACAGTAGCTACATTTAACAGTATTCAAACAAAATCAACTATAAAAGAAGCATCTGCAACAAATTTACATGCACATGACCATCTGTCTGGTGGAAAACCTCTGTGTATAGAGAAGGCAGAGCCAGACCGAGACAGTCACATGACTGACCCGAGCAGGGTCATGTGCTTAATGATAGGCTTGCGCGCCTATCCCATCCATCTGGCAGAGGCCAAGCCTACAGCACATGGTTGTGGTTACCATGACAGCAGATCAGGGAGCTCTGCAATGAAGGCCCAGTATCTCAACTTCCACCAAAGAAAAAAGACTTTTCAGCAGTTATACTGCTGAAAATGTGAAAGCTAACAGATAATATGAATGTATCACTGTCATAATTCAGTAGCTGTATATATAATTAAATAGGTATATTATATAGTGAGTCTGGAGCTATCCCAGGCAGGGGACACCCTGGATGGGATGCTAGTCCATCACAGGACACACACTCACACATACAGTCACCCATTATGGGCAATTTAGTCACTGATTCTCCAAACTTCAGATTTTAGGATTGTGCAAGGAAACCCATACAAACATGCAAACTGCACACAGATAGACCCGGAGGCAGGATTTCAAGCCACACACAACAGTCCTAACCGCTCTGAGGTCGTTGGCACCCAGACCAAAAAAGGTGTAACATTAACATAAATCCACTACCAATGATAATGTAGCTGAGAAGAACCCACAACGAATCGTCACATTTATTCATCTAGTAGACACTTTTATCCCATGGAAGACAAGAAAGCAGGGTCAACCAGTCCCTGGAGCAACTGGGGTTAAGGGCCTTGCTCAGTGACCCAACAGTGACATCACTCGCTTTGGCTCACAGAGTGCTAACCTGCAAAGCCTCACGCCACTCGGCAGTCGAATAAAAGCCCTCTGAGATACCTGCACCACTCCATACTTAGGGGGTTATAAGTCAGGGTGTTTCATCTCTGCTGTGGGTGTGGTCTGCCAGTCAGTGATGTGGCGGTTAGCTCACCTGGGCAGGGAGGAGACCTTGCCCCACTTCTCGATGCAGAACCGGCGCATGCCATTGCTCCCGCGCAGTGTGGCGAAGCCCTCGTATGGCACGCTGGATGTGCCCGTCACGAACTGCAGCAGACGTAGTCTCTGCTCGTTGTTGAAACGCTCCACCGCAGCCCAGAACCACCGGATAACGATATGTCCGTCGTGGTAGCCTGGAGGGGGGAGATAAGGGGATCCTTGCCCAGTTTGCATGGTCCTGCCAGGCCTGAGCCTTGTCCTCCGAGAATTGTATCCTGTCTTAATCAGGAAGTCCTACAGATTTTGAAAAATGCTTCTGATTTGATGCAGGGTGCACTGGTGAAGCTAACACTGGCACTGCAGTCTTCTAGAACAACAGACCACTGTGTCATCCAGATGGAGATGGCTAGAGAACGGCTGGATAAATGCCCATAAATAATACTATAAAAAGTGAATGTCAGAGCAGCTACAAAAACATAGCTTTTAGCAACGGCCCGTGAACATTAACCAAGACAGCCTCTCACTGATTCTTTAATTGCTGGCCTCCTTTAGACAAATTGGTATTTGTTTTGGGGGCCGCAATGAGATCCCACATTACATATGTAACAAATGGTAGTCCGCTGTAGGTTTCGGGATGGCGTTTGACCTGCTCCAACCAAACAGAAAATTATATCACTTTAAAACTAAACTTTAGAGGAAAAAAAAGCAGACACGACCCCTTGAACCCCTGACCCTGGACCAGTGACCGCTAAGGCAATTTAGGCTTGATAGAAGATTATTTTGGAGGTGGACAAAATAGGAGAAACTCTTAACAGCAATATCTAGGATACAATGGAACTTAGGGTGACGCTTCAATCCTTCTTGGAATGATGTCATACAAGAACTGTGTGCTGTGGGATACAAGAGCATTTGTTAAGAAGAAGAGCCTCCAGATGTTTGAGTGATGAAGGAGGTGGAAATCTATAAATCTCATGACTGGGGAGGCCTGGGAAGGTATTTGACTTCATTCTAGTGTTCATGGAGCCGCTTCTGAATTCGTTCAGAGGCGTACATGGGTGTATCTTCGTGGCTCAACAGGCTAAGCCTGGCTTCAGTAGACTAGTCACACGTCCCTGAGCCCTTGAGCAAGGCCCTTAGCCCCCAGCTCTGTCTACTTGGAAAGCAAGATGGGGTAGGTGAAAAGAGAATTTCCCCATGGGGACCAATAAAGCGTAATTGTTATTATGAGTGTTTGAAGCATATGGTAAAATCACGATGGCTGTCCATACTTTATTAAGGCATCGAGGGCTGAAGGCATTCTTTGACTTTCTCTAAATGTAAACCCATCCCAGGTGAAAGATGACTCCACAGACCTTTTTTCCATTGCTCAAGGGTCCAAGTTTCTTGCTACTTACAGCAGGTTATGTGTCTTTTCACACCAGCCTTGAATACCAGGCATCTCTTAATAACAACCCTGCCATAAATTCTTTCTGAGACTCATGATGAGCAGTTTTTGCTAAGACTGGGTCACAGAGTTGCTGATTCAGTTCTGTGGTGGCGACCGACCTGTTAGGTGTCTGTCCATCTCTGTCACTGAGCTTCCACTTGCCACCACTGTGCCTCTGTCGTGATTCAGCTTATCCATTTTTGACATATGACTTTGAGACTTTTGAGACTGTTTACAAGTCATATGGCTATTTCTGTGACGGGTGAACCTGGAATTCTGTCTCGGACCGATTTCCCTGATCGGAACTCACCTAAAACTCACATGTCAAAGTTTTAATTGTTAGATTTCTCTTACAGTTGACACATGCTGTTAATACGCATTCAACCTAATATGACTCACCTTTGTCAGCATGATTTATTTATTTCAAAGCATATGTTATTTTTCATGCAGTGCTTCCATAATATATTTGCTTTGAAAAGAATTAGAATGTAAAATATATTTCCGAAGTTTATATGTATATGTAATCTGCATTAAAATCCCTACTCTTGTAACATAGAATACTTGCCTATGATGTAATGGCCTGTAATAAGAGCAGCTAATACTTCATATGATCACTGTGATTTTTCTGCGTTACCAACTTTCTTATGTTCGGACAACAGTGATTTCACATCAGTGACGTTGAGTTGTCTTGTAAGTTTCAGCTCTAGAGCAACATAATGGTTGAAAGACTTTGCTCCATGGTCCAAGACAAATACTCAGTTGATGATTCTTCTAGTCTGTTTCCCAGACAGCTACACACCGAGCTGTCGAGGTGCACGTACCTCCTCTGTATTCCGTGTTGCTCCTCCAGTCGTTCAGGTCAATCTCCGCTGTACCGGCGATGACCAGCTCAAGCTCCCTGGCATCGAACACCGACACCAGCCGGGAATCCACCACCTACGGTGAAAAATAATAAGGGGTCGCTGTGGTAACCGACTACGTCATTGTTTCCAGCGGTGACTGAATCATGATATGGGTGATGACAGGTCACATGGCACCTCGTAGAAGCCCCGGACGAGCGCTTCTGTCTGCTGAACCACGCCCCGCTCCACTCTCCATTTCACCATCCGCTCTATGTATTCCTTCTTGTTTTTCTCTGTCACCTGGATGTTAGCCCCACCCGACTTCAGCTCCCGCTCTGTAACCTACCACAGGAAATGACATCAGAATTACATCACCCGTTCTCATATGGTGCCTGATACCTTCCACTCTGCTTGAAACTTAATGCCTTGTTCTTCTGCTGGGGCCAGTTCATTAACGTGTGTCGGATCCCGCAAAAGCGAGTGAGGGGACAACTGCACTAATCATGTCACACCAGGCTCGCGGTTCTGTGACAGCTAGAATCCTACCTGACCAAAGACCTCTTCGTTCACAGTGAAAGTCAGATCTAGAATGTCGGTGATATCGTTATCTTTCATCCATTGTAAACTTTGGTGGAACTCCTCGTCCAGGTATTCAAGATCACTCAGGTCAGTTGGGCTGTAATGCATTGAAAACATCAGAACTACTTAATATCAGAATATTTAATTGGTGTATGACAGAGGCCTAGTTTGTTATGTCAGAATTTTATTTGGGTTTTGAATTCCTCCTTCCTACTAGGCTGGTGCCATGAAGAGAAGTTCACTCACAGCCTGAGCAGAGCCTTGTAGAAAGGCCGGGTGAAGAAGGCGTCCAGCAGGTACTGGTGAATCAGCGCCAGGCCCAGAATACGGCCGCTGAACCGGAACCTTAGGAAGACAGAGACGGAGACAGCGGTTACCGCTTGACTGCCGACCTTCCAATGGGAACTTCTCTGGTTTGATGAACTCTTTAACACAGCTTTATAATTACGGAAAACAATTACTTTTGAATTCCACAATTTCATAGATTTGACTGTCTACTGCAGTGTTTCCCAACCCAGTCCTCAGGGAACCCCAGACCCCCAGTGCACATCCCCCAGCACCCAACAAGTCTGTGTCATTTGGTGTTCGTGATTGCAGAGGGAGCAAAAACATGGACTGTCTGGAGATCCCTGAGGACTGGATTGGTCTACAGATAAGAATCAAAGATAAATACATACATGACCATGTCAGCTAAAGTCATCAAATCACATATATTTCAAGGCTAAAACTAGAAAAAATGATTATGCAACTAAGGAGGGGTAAAATCATTGTCATCTCACAAGGTTTCATGGGAATCAGAGGGAGTATCAGAGCAGATGTGTGAGAGTCCTGTCTAGGCTGCATGACAGAGTGGGTCGTGTCACGCCTTCCTGACTGGGAAGGACTCTCACGGTAAAGGTTGATTCTGTTAGGCACAGGGAGGATTGCCGGGACGACACAGCAGACAATGTGATCTGGGCTGCCACCGCGGATAAATACAGGCAGAGCCACATGCTCTCAGGTTACAGACAAATGAAGGCATGAGGGATCTCTCAGCCCTGAGGCAGAACCTGGGCTGTCCTGGTGCAGGACCAGTTACACTGGTGAGGGCCGCCCAAACAACCCAGATAAAGTGGTACACCTCCTCTTCCAAAAACGTCTCTAACATTTTGTGCTGATGTCTAAAATTCTCAGTGGCTGAAAAGGACAGGTCCAGTAACACTAAACCATTTCTGGTTGAGGTGTGTGGTCCAGAAAGACAAACAATAGGTTCACAAGAGTGTGAGACATCTTCTCAGATGACACCATGAGAAATTACACCTCTGTGGCTGAGTCCTCTGGGCTGACATTACAGTTTCAGCCCAACTGGGCATCAACCCAATGTCCTCAACAACCCCGGACCTATACGACTTAACACCCCCGCCCTTCAAGGGACACATTCAGCATGCCTTGCATATTAGTAAGCCATGCCCCTAGCTCGACATCCCGGGCTTGACAGCTCTCATAACCAGCCAGCTGATGGGAAAATACTTCACATACGCCTGTAGCCTTGGCCACCTCAATTCACAGAAAACCATCCGGCCGTTTTACCGTCACTTGTTGGGCTGGACATACGACCCAAGGATACAGCCAAGGTTCACATCATGATTTAAAACAAAGAGATTCATAAATCTGTCAGGACTTTCACTAAGGGCATTAAAATCATGGCCCTCAACACAAGCTTTGCAAAAAGGTGCTCTCCAAAAGTCACAATTTGCCAATTATGCTTGTAAAACTCTTAATATTACACTGTTAACAGCTGCTAAATGGGGATCTCTATGCTGAAGAAAGCATCCATCCATCCATCCATCCATCCATCCATCCAGTTTTCATAGCTCCATATCCAGTACAAGGTAATGCAGAGCCTAGAGTTTCTCCCAGGAAGTACAGGCCCGAGACTGACTCCCTGGATGGAGAATCCCTGCATCGGACACCAGGGAAACACATTCAGTCCATTACTAAACTGTAATCCAGATTGCAAACTCACCATACACATACTGTCGGATGTTTCCAGAAGCATTTCAGATGTTATTCGTTCTGCCCAAGTTCACAATTGCAAGGGAACTTGCGGAATCGCTTGCTATTACTTAACCACTACACCACCTACAAGTCCTTGGGAGACGGTGCTTCCAACAGAAGGAATTCTTCTACAAACACAGCTCTCAGGGCCTGATAAGCTTCGTTTTGAGCAGATATTTAAATGCTACACTTTTGGATAAATGCAATCCAAAGTCTTTCATTGTGTGTGGTATTGCTGTTATAAAAATGTTCATATACACAAAATATGACACAAAAAAAAAAAGAAAACCAAAATATGAAAAAAGTGACAGCTGGGACTGAGAATGTCAATCCTGGGAGCTGTAACCCCAAGAGCCATGGATGGGGTCATTGTTGCTTGCTTTAGTAACACAGCCTCCTAATTAATGGCCTTGATTGAAACAGCCAAGCTAGCAGGCCGGACTCTGCTTTCCAGAACCTCACACAAATCTAATTCTGCTTGTGTGGCTGTCATTTTGCATCCACAATGACTTTTTATTACTCACAACTTGTTTTCTGATCTTCACCAGTATTAATCTTCATATCAACATATCAACATAAACACTAATGAAAATTTAATCATTTCCAAATGTTACAGAAATGTTTAATTTATTCATAAGTAAACACTTCTGTAGTTATATTGCATGGTTATACAAAAAGACATGCGCAGATATGGCTGTAACTGAGTGACAGAATTTTAATTGCATTGGACAATTCTCTGTTTTTCTACAGTGGTTGAGAAACATGATACCCAAGGACAGTAAGGGGATCGAAGTCGAGAGAGCAATGTTCTGTAGGGTCATTCTACATCAAATGAGGCTGTGACAGGAAGGGTGAAAACAAAACCTTTGAAGTACTGGAATTTCAAGCTCAAATTTTACGTCCTATGACAGACTAGCCTGGGATAGGCCACAGGCCCCATGGAGACCCTGTACTGGACTGGTTGGAAGATGGATGGATGGAATTATAAATGGTAGAGTATTAACTACATCCAAAATTAATAAACTTGAACTTAAATGTGGTTGATAGACCATAATATTTTCAGGCAGATTTTCAGTATTCTGTTTGTTTTTCATATATTAACAATAATTGAAGTTGGCTACAGACAGAAATTAAGTGTAAATACATGGGTGACGATGTCCGATATTTAATCATATACATTTCAGGGTCACAACAGGGCATATGGAAAAATTTTGAGGCAGACATTGTAAAAACATCATCTGAAAAAGACCTATGGGAAATGGGGCACCTTAGGCGCTGAGTCCGGTCCCAGCTGCGTGACCGAACAGGCCGCTTCACGCCTTCCTGACGGGGGAGGACACTCACAGTAAAGGTCGACTCTGTCCCGTCAGGCACAGGGAGTATCGCCGGGATGGCACAACGGCTAAGGCGATACGGATGAATACGGGTAGAGCCGCGTTTAGAATCACGCTCTCAGGTTACAGAATAACGAAGGAATGAGGGATCTCTCAGCCCTGGGGCAGCGTCTGGGTTCTCCTCGTGCAGGACCGGTTTCGCTGGTGAGAGCTGCCCAAACAGCCCAGATTTGGTGATACTTCTCATTCCTAAGACACATGGCACCAAACTTGTTTTAGATATTTATTCCACCCCGTCATGCTGCTGCTTTTCTACCATGTTTACATGCGCATTACACAATGCACATAAACCCTTGTATCACACTGTCCTTGCAAATTAATTACTGTGAAAACCCCTCCCTTCTCACTGCATGTTACACCGTGGTCCTGGGAGAATGCTATTTTGTGCCACTGTATAACTGTATATGGGAGGTAAGACGATAAAGCCGGGTGTGAAAATTAACATGACTTGACAATATTACCAGGTGGTCAAAATGGAACAGATCCAGTCAAAGAACACTGGTCATTTGTTGCAAACACTGGCAAATGGCTGGGACAATGGAGAGCTGAGAGTGGTTGCACTTATAACAATGAGGCCCTATCAAAATAGCCCAGATAAGCTCCATGGGGCTGGAGCAGGTGGTTGCGTTTGGCTGGGGCAGGTCGCAGCCTTGCGTGACTGACTTATCGCCTCTGAGCGGATCAAACACACAGCCGAGGCGAGGCCCTTACCACTCCAAGTGATTCTCGACGAATGCTGACATGGGGCTTATCTGCACCGTGTACGTGTCGTTGGCCGAGTACTCAAAAAGGCCGTAGTAGGGGTTGAAGAGCTCCTGGGACAGCAGGAAGAAGAACTCCCTGGAAGGGCCGCTGTAGTCGAGGCTGGGAGGGGTCACAGAAGTCAGGGAGGGGGTCAGGTGCTGGCAGCAAGTATAAAGCAGGAAACATTTAACTGAGAGAATGTGTCGCTGATCACAGCACATTTGTTGGAGTTTGAGTTCATGAAGTAAAATGAAACAAACCAGCATTTTAAAGAGTGAAATACAGTATAGCTGCAGTTTTATATTCAGCGCTTTTAAATTCAAGGTCACACCGATTCTTACAGAGAGATTTAAGGTTTTCTTAAGCAGCCTTTGGATTCTGACCCTGCCACTGGAATATCAACATAGATAGTAACACATTCATTCATTCATTTTCTGCATTGCTTTCTCCTATAATAACAAGCCAAGCAAAACCAAATAGTAGCAAAAACAGGGGCTTTTCCGGTAATGCCCCATGCAAGCCTCCGCCTTTAAATCCGCGCCACTAAGCGGCCTCTCGACACCGTACCCTTCCTCTCCCACGAAGGTGATGTAAAGCTTGTTCCTCTGCAGCTCTTTACGCGAGTAGGTCATGACCTGGTTGAAGGTGCCCTCCAGGAGGTGTTCTCTGCGGATGAGCAGCCTGTGGCAGAGCAGGGCCCAAAAACAACTGAGCGGAGGAGTATCTACCAAGGACCAAGCAGCCATTGAATTGATCAAAATAAAGGAAGGAGAAGGAAGTTTCTAACCACACCCCCCAACAAATCAGAAGTCTTGCTTTGCGGTTTTCAGCAATATAACCCATTAAGAGGCAGAACATGCTGGGACAGAGATTGGGTCCTTTTCCATAGCCGTTAGCATTAGCATCCCGCTCTCCCCCACACACTGCACAGATCAGTGGCATACATCTGCTCTCCACATTTACTTGATTTTTCCTGGCCCTTGTCCATAGCCCTTGGCCTCCAGTTTCCTGTAGAAGTTGCGAAGCTTCGCCTCAAAGTCCCTTCGATAGGGGGCTGGGGCGCGGGCTCTCTGTAGGGCTGCCAAAACAAGCACAAAGAGTCCCATTAGGGTTTCCGACGTGTGGGGGATTACCGGGGCCCGTCAAGGCCGAATCGGAGGCCTTCGGCAGGGTGTGGCGCGCCCCCGCCCTTCAACGTCAAGCTAAAGCTTTCACCCGAAACCAAGCTGGGAACATCTGACAGATGTGGCATGGCAGGGGGTGGGAATGGGAACTGGCTACGCATCATTAACCTCCATTAAACAGGCAAAAAAAAAAAAACAGCAGAATGGTGCCTTTGCTCCGTTTCTGGGTCAAGCCGATCCAAAGGGAAAGCAAAATGTGGAAATGAACAGCCCGAGATTAGCGGACGTGCTAACTGCTAAACAAAGCGCTTCAGATACAGTAAGTAAATAGAAACTAAAGCAGAATCACGCCTCGTGGCACCATCTCTGATCTTACGTATTTAACTTAGGGTAAATATAACGCGCTAACGCGGTGACGTGTTTGACATCCTTGTACGTTTTATCGGGCTTATCAGACAAGGCTTATCTTAGAAGACAAAGAACAGGGAGCAAAACAAACAAACTTTCACAGAAACATTCTAAAGAACACTACAAATGCAGCATATATAGATTCTTAAATAGGAAGGGCTTTTTAGTGCACTGCTATATATTAGCCACCTTTTGAAAGTACTAAAGTATAAAGGATTCAGTTATACCTGAAAGCATTAAAACCTAAAGTAGTTTACCACTTGAATTTTTATTATTATCAATTAATTAATTAATTAATTAATTTTTATTTTTTAAATATGCAGCCATGGTGACACAATAACTGCAAATTTAGCAATCAACATCTTTTTGCAAACAAACACCAAACCCGCAAATGGGGGGGCGGGGCCTTTTCTGGCTGGTCCCTTCAGCAGTCAGATGATGGAGGGCTGTGACTCGTACCTGGGGAGCTCTGGGGCGAGGATCCTGGTGAGCATCGGGGCGAGAAGCTGTACCCAGGGTGGAAGGAATGCGGTGGGATGTACGACATTATGTCCTCCTCAAACAGGCTATGGGGGAGAACGAACGTGGGCTAGCGTCACTGTTCAGGAGACACACAACTACGCAGTGCTAACAAATGAGTTAGCAGTTTCCATAATAGTGCTGGACACAGGAGGGGACTCCATGGAAGGTGTATGATGTGAAGCTCAGCAGGTCAGGATGCTATGCTTGTGATTGGAAGGTTACTGGTTTGAATCCCAGAGTCAGCTGAGTTATATCACCGATGGGCCCCTAAGTAGGATCCTGAACCTCCAATTGCTCTATTTGACCCTGCTTTCAATTCTATGTTGCTTTATTATTATTGAGCATATGCTTAATAAATTAATTGTCAATAACCATGCAGGTAGCACAATGATTTAAGCCCTGAGGTTCTGACCAGAAGCCTTCCAGCTCAAGTCCCAGGACTTGCCCTGCTTCTGCATCTTGGTGTTTGATTTCATCTGGCAATGACAACAGAGCAGCTCGACCAGATATTTTCCCCCCAACAGTTGCTAGGCAGCATTCCTCCCAGGACCTGTATGCCCTCAGGGAGTTGCGTTGGGTCCAAAGAGCACCAATATCCCAACCCACGCACCCAAAGTGTTGTTTTAGCGAGGGCTGGGCCTACAGCGAGTGAACCAGATAGCACCCAACTCTCGTACCTCAACAACATCACCAAGTCTGCATCACACGACAGCTTTTCGACTCCCTGGGTGCCTTCTGTCCTGATGTAATGGATCTTCTCCCTGAGGGCCGGGGAAACAAGATTACCTCTCTTTGGCCAATTAAACCCTTGTGCAACACCATTCTTCAGAGCCTTATCTCTGACATGTAGGAGTTGTCGAAACAGCGAGGTCTTGAGGCACTCATGAAGCATGTCACCCTGCCGAATTAGGCCTTCTCTTTGAGCAGTGTGGAGTTCACGGTAAATACTCGGCCGTGGAAAGTTCTAGAGATAACAATCGAGCTTCGGCACAGCGGGGCCGCCCTCCGAATATGAACCACATGTCTTGAGCGTTTCTCTGCTGCACGCAACGATATTATGACTGTCGGCCGCAAAGTGACCCCGACTCTGGGTAAAAACATCTCCATCGCTGGCCTGGGCTGGGATACACCAGAGGGACAGCTAAGGGCCCAGTTAGAGCTGTACCTCAGCGTGTGGTTTCTGCTCAAGCTGGGCTGCCGTTCCTGAAGCATGTCGAAGATGTTTGGCTGCCGGAGAAATGCCACGATCTTGTCATTGTATGCTGAAATGAAAATAAAACAATGCGTTATTTGTTTTGCGCAGGTACTCTGGAATGTCTTAGTTTTCACATATCCCATCCAGCTCTCCTTTGAGACGTACACATAAGTATATACAGGTTAGAGAGACGTTTTGGGCTAGAGGGGAGGGTCAGGCCATTTGTCCAGCACTACTGGAGCATTTTGGGGAGTTAAGTACTCAAGGGACCAACAGAGACGAAACTGTCTGGCTGAAGACGGGATTCAAACCGGCAACCTTCTGATCACAGGCGCAGAAACCTAACCCACTAAGTCACAAAAGCCACACACCATTGGAAACAGGAGGGGGAGGGGTCATAATCTGTAATATGTGTCTCCATTTTTCCAGCAACATAAGGAGAGATGTGAGTTTCAGGTCCAGAAAGTAAAAATCCAGACCAAGATTTTGTTTCAACCAACCTGTCGAATACTCTGTGAATGTGACTCCTTACTGTATGTTAACTGGTTGGATGAAACAAAATTGTTGTCTGGATTTTTACTTTCTGGACCTGAAATTTACACCCCTCCTTAAGAGTGTAGAAGGGGGGAACCTTCACAGGCAACCAGTGATCACTGTGCAGGGAAGCCCTGCGGTGAGGAAACAGCACAGTTGACCTTTCTGGGGTGCAGGCAATTCTTTGTCAGCCAAAAATGGCATTTAAGAACAAAAAAGACTTTTAAAATGTCATTGGAAGGGTTATATTGTTCTTTAGTTGCCAAGTATCCCTTATCCTGCCGGAATCTCGAATACTTCTGAATGGTCCAGATTCGTTGTTACACACAACGAGATTACGTTGGTGACTTCCAAAGCTGATGCAATGCAATAGAAGTAAATCATATAAATGATGCAAACAATATACATAAGAAGTCAACAATACATAAAACTAAACATATATTGAGCTAGTCATATATATCATCTATAAAAGATTAATTATAAAGAGACTATGTAAGAATAACAAGTGCAGAAATGACTATTATCTTCACTTGTGTTTACACCCAGACAGAACTTCATGTATAATCCTGAGCTCAAGTTCGAACTGAAAGCCTTCAGTCAGAAGAGCCTGTCCATCTCTAAGCGCCCGTGCTGTATAATTACAGCCTGTCCCAGGAGGCCACGGCCGATGGGCCTTGATAAGCCTCCCTTTGTGGGCCGGCCGGTACCGGCTCAGCTGGCGGTGTAATTAGGAGATCCCCTTTTAAAGCAGGCCTCTCGGGTTTCGGGCCGGAGTCACGCACGCCTCCCCCCTCGGCGGAGGGGATTCCGTGCACCGGGATGCCGTGTTTGCGGAATATCCCCAGCACATAGTTGGAATAGCTGAGGGAGGGGGGGAGGGGTTCAGCCTGGTGGCGGGGGGATGGGGGGGGGGCGCTCGCGGAAAGGTGAGGGGAAGAGATGGCAAGAGCAGCTCCTCACTCCTATTAAGTGAGAAACGCTGAAACTATTATAAGTATATATGCAGAAATACAACAGACAGTCAACAGAATAAAAAAGACAAACGGAAATAGAAAAAAACAAAAACAAAAACACATAATCACTGATTATACATTTACCCTGTGTGTGTATTTCTTTTTTTTTTCAAAATAATTAAATAGTTAATATAATTAGAATTAACTTTGTTGATACCAGAGAGAAATCCTAGATTAGATTAGATTTTAAACCCGCCCCACCTCCTCCATGTGTGTAGAGCTTTCTAATTCTCTCCAGTTTGTGTGGGTTCCCTCCCGCTGTCCATAGAACGCTGTTAGAGTGACCAAGGCCTTTAAATTGGCCACAGCATATGATATACTTGAGTGTGTGCGTACATAGCATACGTAAGGCACTCCATTCCTCACCACCGTACCGGATATGTGGCTGCCAGATGGGTGGAGAAACATCTAGAATGATTCACTTAAAGACTGTGAAGCACATTCCCAGGCGTGTGCCTCATGAATCTCAAACCGCAATTTTGTGGAAGAGCTTCTCGTATCTGGTACACACCCAGTGGCACAGGGTCCTGATGGTGCTGGTTCCGGATGGCTGCCACCAGGCTGTTCCCAGGCCTCATCAGCAGGGCGGCACCTCGACTCCGAGATACCTCAGAGGCCTGAGAACCAAAGGGGCATGTCAGTCAGGCGGCAAAGGGGACACCTCCTTCCTGAGACAATAGTTTGGAATCTGAAGGCCCTAAGGAGTTATTTAATGAGCTGGAGGTTCTGGTGAGCTTATTGAGTCCCCAGACGTCGGCTCTCTGGCTTATTTATCTTAACATTGCCTAGCAGGTCCTTATGCTGAAAGATGCATGAGGACGATGCAGGATGGTTAACAGGATCTGAGCTACACCTTGCAGCTGCACCAAAGCTGATGCGGCCTGCCCCCTACAGGGAAAAGCGCAGCACTGCCGCAGCTACATGCAGCAGTCTACAGCCCTGCTCGGGTTGCCCCGCCCACCGCCCGCCGCCCGCCCACCCACCTCCCCCGCGCTGTAGCTGCGCAGGCGCTGCAGGTGCTGCTTGTGGGTGAGGTGGTTGGGTAGGCGCCCGTCCTGCAGCGGGATCCTGGGGTCGATGAAGGTCGTCGCCCGGCTGTTGTGGTCCACGAAGAAGAACTGCAGGGACAGGAAGTTCAAACACCAGCACATCTTGGAAAAACACACATTGTAAACCGGCCATTTTGGACACTTTCTGTCCTACTAAAGCCTCAAGCCACTTCTTTGAGAAAACAAATCCTCTTTTCAATTACATCTCTTCGGGGGTGAACATTCAGGTTTTTTGTGCTAAAGCTCGGCTTTTTCACTCCGTATCTTGGGTCCCTTGTCCTGTGCAGATGAGCAGGAGCTTGTAGGTGCCCTTTGTGAAAGACAGGGGGCGCTGGAGGCTCAAGCAGCTGATCCTACCGCTCGTTCAGTCTATCTATCTATCTATCTATTTATCTATCTATCTATCTATCTATCTAACAGAAAGCAGGGTAAAAAAATCCTTAGTGTCAGGGGAGGACCATGGACACCCTGGCAGCTTCAAGGGGCCTAGCACCTTATAGCCTCTGGGGGGTCAAAACTGTGTGCCCCCCAAGGCCACACTTTGCTAGAGGGCCCAGAATTTGGGGGTTGAGGGCCTTGATTGGGTGCTTAGTTGTGAGATCATTGTGCTAATCCTGGGATTTCCGCTCATAGGCACAGGATCTTAACACCCATTCCCCCCCCTCCCGATAGGTCTCCTCCACATGAACCTTCCTCGCTCTAATGCTATGTGACTGTCCCTGGAGCAGAAACCACCACATAAATAACATCACTCTTTACATGTGTCTCTGTTGGTGTGTGTTCCGTTGGGGGCCTCTACCTTGCCCTGCTGGTCGCTTTTGATCTCCCAGCCTCGCGGCAGCTCCAACTGTGTGTCGGCGAACTTGTTGAGGAAGGCCACCAGGTCACGGTTGTGCTGGTAGCGCTCGAAGTTGCGTGTGTCCCTCCTTATTTTCAGGATCATGTGCTTCAGGCAGGTGCTGTTGGTGAACGTACGGTAGGCACCCTGGTGTGGATGGGGGGCAGGAGAAAAATTAACGATCTTGAACCAAAAGAAACAGGCTTTACAGTTTCTGTTCCACCTTAAAACCACCTTAAATACCTCTGTAAAGCACTTAGTGACAAATTCAAATAAAATTGCCGATTGGTGGATTAGCGGAAATTAGATTTTTGACTTAAAATGCTTCAGTGACTATGAGTCAATTCAATTTTTAAGCATTGGCTATGCAATTATTTGAGAAAATACACACAGATTAATAGAACTTAATAAAGTAACAGAAATAAACAAGGCTAGAAAATATTTTTCACAGGAAGCTCTGTCAGGTCGTTGATTGGCTGATGTGGGAGGCGGGATCAGATTACCTGTTTACCTACCTGGACACACTTTCTTAAAGGGACAGGCATGTTCGTGAACCTACACCAAGAGTTTGGATGACAACACGCACTGCCTGTTCTTTAAGGCTCACAGTCCTCAACCTCATCAGGAGTTGTAGATGGAAACATGCAGCAAACTCCCACAGAGAAGTGAGACAAAATGCCCATACTGTGGGACTATAAGTGTGGGTAATAGAGAGCTGTGTGGCTTAGCAGGTTAGGATGCTGTGCTGGTAAACAGAAGGTTGTTGGTTTAAATCCCAGCACTGGCAGAGTAGTTTCACTATAGAGTTCTTGATAAAACCATATTAAAATAAATGAGGATGGATGTTTCCCTTTTCTGCCATGAAGGTTATGGCAGGCTGGAAAGACATAGAAACTAATGAGTGTCCCCCATCCATGATGGAGGCTGGCCTGCTGCACAGGATACTCACGTGATTGGCATGGAGCACATTGAAGAACTCTGGGTGGGCAATGAACTTGACTGCTGGGCACTGGAGAAGCAGGCTGACCTTCTGGCTGCTGACTGGGGATGTGGGGCCTTCTCTTCTGAGCTCTACAGCCATGAGGAGTGATGGAGAGGTCAAAAGGTCATCACACAGGTCATCAAAATTACAATTTCTTCTTAATGTGTAATGTCTGCTTAATGTTTAATCGTTGCTTTTGGTTGATTTCTACTTTTTGCCTAATGTATACAATATTTTCAGGCTCTAAATTAAACATTGAATGTCTAGTGGACTATTTCATTTGGTAAGCAAGTGCCAGAGATCTAGAAACAAAACAAGAGAAAAGCATTATGGGAAATTTATATATAGCAGAACTTTTTGCCAAAGCTCCTTACATTAGAGGATGAGATTACATTTTTTTAAGCATACTCCTTGGGATTCAAACTCACGGCCTTTGTTTTGTTAGTGAAATGTTCTACTTGTCAAGCTATTTGCAAGGACAACAATGTCAGATCCCCTGGGTGGTGGTGACATACCATTGACCTGTGGCGGAGAGTCATTCTCGGCATCGGTGCTGCCTATTCGCTCCAGCCGCCTCCCGTTCGTTTCGTCCTCTGTGGCCATGGTCCTCTGGATGTTCTGGTACCTGCTCAGGGAGACAGCTTTATTTAGTGTTCCAGTGTAGACCTTCCTACACATCCTACACGAGACTCTGGAGTGTTCCTTCCTGCTTAAGAAATTAAGAATGAGGCACATAAGACAAGACTGTCCTCAATCTGAATGCTGCGCTTTCCAGGAGGTTCAGTGGCCAGTAATTCTATCCATCCATTTTCTGTATCCATTTGTCCTATTTAGGGTTGCAGGGGGTCCGGACCCTATCCCAGAGACTGCAGGTGCTAGGCAGGGAACAATCCAGGATGGGACACCAACCCATCACAGGGCACACACATTTGGTAACTCCAGTTAACCTCAGCATGTTTTTGGACTGTGGGGGGAAACCGGAATACCCGGAGGAAACCCCACAACCAGAAGCAGAGGACATGAAAACTCCACAAACATGGAGTCATGGTGGAGACTGAAACCCTGGACCCAGTGGTATGAGGCAACAGTGTTAACCACAGCGCCACCATGCTGTCCCAGTCAGAAATGCAGAGGAGTAAAATGCCCATACAACTCACTCTCAGGCCAAAGTTATAGATCCTCCCCACCCAAGGATTCCATATACAACCAATTTTGGTGTATTTTCAACACGAATGTTATAAACATTCACTTTATGAACAGTTCACTTCATTTTCATTATAAAGCGGGATTTCTTCCTTCCGTATATGACTGTTATAGCATAAAGGATACACAGCCTGTGGTTTTGGTTTTGTTGTATTTCACTAGCACAAACTGGAGAATGTGAGATTAGGCAGCAGGGCTGTGGCTATCGCTCCACACACACACACACACACACACACACACACACACAC